GCTTCGCCGCTGGTGAGTTAATTGGTGTACGTAGTTGCAAGTCTATCAATGGCAATCCTTCTTGACGTATTGGGGATAATTCAGCTTGTTCTGCAGTGCGCTTAGAGGCGCGTGAGGCTTGCCGATTCCTACAGCCGAGACAGTTAGCCGTAAGTCTTCTACATGTTAGGGAAGACTTTGTCTTCGAAATGAATTGATCTGCCGGCTTCTCCTGCTTGCAGTTCCTGCAAATCTTCGTTGAAGGGATAGAATCAGCCATGACTATGACTCCAGGCGGACGGTAGATCAAAAGATTTTCGCGTCGGACCCTCTTTAGTTGCACGATTTCGCTTCTGGGATGATGATGATTATGCTCCTTAATACGGCATTGCTTCCTGCAGTATCCGAGCGGTCCGCTAATAGTCCTTTAACCACCTACAACCCTTCCTATATACCTACAACCCAGACTCTTGCTCAACTGCCGACGTTGCCCTTTGTGGCGCCGCAACTCCCATCCTCCCAAGTCGGTGACACTCTCAAGCTGAAACCGTTGCTACCCCGATATCAGCTGGTTCCATGTCGGCACTTCGCCTTCATTCACCTGCTTCACAGAAGATGACACTGTCCCATCCCCTACAGTCACATCTCACTTCTGACATTTGACATACTGTCACATACATCACTTTCGATGACGTCTCTGCTGCCAAATCGATCTTGCCCACGACCCAAACCCCGCATTCTTCATTTACTTGAAACGTGACGCATTCCCGGACCGTCGTCTGGGCTCTGATCTGCCGAACCCCGCACCCCAGATGCTGCGGCCCGCGGGAACTACCACTGCGTCTACCTATACCCATATACAGTAGAGGCCAAGCCATCGCCACCCTGCTCACTTCCTATTCTGCTGTTCCCTACCGCGGTATCTACCGTCCTATTGCCTCCAACGTTCGTCTCAGGTATTCTTGGCGCCTTTTCGACAGCCACTGCTCCAGTGTATTATGTCTCCTCCCGCTCCCTTCCCCAATAGCCCCTCGAACCCACGCAAACCTCTCGAGAGCCAGACAAACGCGGGACCGTCCAGGTTTGCCTATCAGGACCAGCATCGCATTAAGGGGCTCTCATCATCCGTGATCAGGGCTACCAGCCGTAAGCATGCTGCATACAGCTGACCTTGGCATCCCGCCCTGACTCGAGCTAAAGCATTCTCCCCCGAAACTTTGCCTCCGTAGACCACTTCCCCGCTGTCCCTCCCGTTGTCGCGTTCACCGGCCCTGTTGTCGGTTCCGGCCGCACACTGCTACGAAAGGAGTCTATTCCAGGACTCGACGGCGTCCAGTTGAAGTGCTGTGGCTTCGTCCAACTTTCTACGTTCATTGCCCCTGGAAACCCTGACAAGACTCCCTTCAAAGGCTTCCATCCATTCCAGGTTTTTGTTATCTTCCCCATCCATGCCAATCCTTGGGCAGCCCTGTGCAAGAAAATGGTCGAGAGACAGGACACCCAGTTCCAGACTAACGCGCTTTTCACTTGCACGGGCAAAGTTGCCGGCATGCTCGACTACATCATCATGGTGCACCCGCCTGGCTTTGACCGGGACTACGTTTTCATCGTCGTACCAGATACCTGGACCTTTCTCGACAGGGCCACGCCCAAATCGGCCGCCGCAGCCCTATCACTCTCGACCCCACCGAAACAACCGTCCTCCGGCCATATGGCCTTTGGGGATGCGAAAGCTATGTTTTCCTCGCCACCAAAACCAACAGTTCACCAATCCCCTTCGCTCGAACCGAATACACCACCGGCCAAGCGAACAAACTCTTACTGCAACCAGACCCCTACGAAGAAACGGCGCCTATCCCCGGCCTCTTCTAGCACCATTCCCTCTTCCCAGAGCAACGAGCCTATCAGATCCCTCAAGGTTTCGGCTTCCTCACAAGATGAACTTGATGTACCAGAGGCGGATTTTGCCACTACCTGCCGTCCAGATCCGCCCGCATCCGATTCAATCACAGCGTTCTCGTCAGACGCGCCCCGAACACATCCAGTGATGTTATTGGATTGGATTGGAGCTGGATCTGAGCCTCGATCCAATCCAGTCCAGACTTGGGGACAGGCAGCCTCCAGTATATCCAGAACGGATCCAGTTCAGATTGTTACCCTTTTGGGACAATAAATGAGCCGCTGAATAAGCAGATTTAGGGTAGAACTGGAATTGTGCCCTTGTGTGTGGTTATGGCAGCACTTAAATAAGTGCTCATTATATTCTCCAGCAACTTGCTTCTCCAATGTGCACAATTCCCTCGGCGCTGTAGCAGTTGGCACAGATAGCAGTACGAGAACCACTTAGGCGTGTCCAGCTTGAATTGTATGTCTACCATACCCTATTACCGGACAGAGTAGCGAACATATTGCTTTCCATTCCGCTCGAATTCGTCGGGTTCGATCAGGATTCCGTCGTGGTCGTTTGGGCGAGGGTTAAGATACGTTGGATCAAGAATAACTCTTTCAGGGTCAGGACGGCGACAGCTGCCAGGGCCGAAATAGCTGGAGATAGTAGCCATGGTGTAGCTGGTGAGTGGGCTGTTCAGATACGTCTGCCAGAGCAGAAGGACTGCTGAAGTTACGAGCGACGCGATTGCTTCCATGGTTTTGCTAACGGACATGTGCGAGTTGGATGTTAACGATGGGCGTAGTTGTGTTGGTGTCTGCGACGGGAGCCCTGTCACGACCACCAAATTAGGGTTAGCTCTTGCCTTATCAGGTTAGACCATTGGAGCTCCAGGAGCTGGTTGCCAATCAATCCAATCCAGTCCAAATCTTCGAGAAACCCAAATCCAGTCCAATCCAAATTGCCTCCAATCCAATAACATCACTGACCACATCGCAACCGTCATCCCCCAAAGAAATATCAGGAAGTTGAATAAGGATCCACTCAAAAAAATCCCCTTATTTGTAGCAACAAACGGTCACTTCGTACAGCAACAAATTGACTGAGATATCTGTTTGTCCACCCACCAGTGCCAACCATCAATATTCTCCAAAGTACGCAAATGCTCCTCGATCACATTGCCCAGCCTTGGGCATGCAGACCTTCTTGTGAATCTTCCACTTTGCCCTTTGATACCCCCCCACCCAAAAAAAAAAAAAAAATCTCCCGCGGCCCGGCATTGCCCGCAACTCTTAATGCTTTGTGTCTCTTCCCACACATACTTTATAGAGGCGAACTCGGCATTTGGTCATGATGGGGATACATGATTCTACAGACGCAAAGTTGCGTCTCCAATGCACGACGTTTTCAATCTTGCATTGTGTTTCATGAACCCTCACTTCCTACACCGGCATAACCTTGAAAGGACCCCATCTCCCGCAGATACATAACCTTATCTCTTTCCTGCTGGTCAGCGTCAGCAGTGACCCTCGATGTCTCTCCAAAGGACGGGGACAAGCATACCTTTTCAGCCAGGTTAACTGCCCTTGTGAATACAAATCTTCTTGTGAATCTTCCAGTCAGCCTTCTGGTGCTCTTTCCCACAGTATCCAACAACTTTACACCGACCACATTTCTTCATGCCTTCCGTTGTTCCACATACGTTGCACGGCAAAATTTCCATACAAGTACTCCGCCTTCGCTGCGGATCCTCTTGAACAATTCCAGCCATTGTATCCTGGATTTCCTGCCGTATCCGCGTCTCACATCCCCCTTTCCCGCACACGGGACTGACCCAGACGCCAACGAAAGGATCCTCCGCCACGTGAAGCCAAGACATGGGGCTTTGCAAGATGTTCATCGCAAACAACCCACAGTTTTCGCAAAATGGTTTTGAAGCGGCACGACACGCCGCTTCATGCTCCTTCATGAAAGGCTGCACTGCAGTCATAAACAGACTGTTATAGCCGGCGTTTTGCCCTGCAGTCTGAGCCTCGCTGACAAGACTGCGGGGAAGGTCGTGGGTGTATTTGAGCTCTTGAGTCTCGCCGCAGTAAAACTCAAAGCGAACTGAGCAGCTGGCCATGGTGCAATAACAATAAGGATTCTGAGAACGCAATGTGTCTTCTGTTGAAAGATGACCTCGAATGGTTCCTGGTTGTTTTATAATAAAATCCTCTTAAAGTTTCATGATGCTTGTCTCACCATCCCCTTATTTTCTCACCCTTTCAAACTGCCATTAGACTTTACTTTGATGTCACAGTGCATAGCGTGCCATGCGTCACCAGGATACCCCGGACACATGTAAGCCACCAAAGAAAATTTCGGATGGAAAATATAAGACGACCCCACGCAACCTTGGGAATACTACTTTGTGAAAATGTCTATACCAGGCTCTTGGCCATCAATGGCGCCCTAGCCATTGCTTCGTTCCTCAAGGCTCTATGCGCAAGCCGCGACCGGCTTGCCTCTCCTGTACGACGATAACTTGAAAGCATAACCTCTGCTCTCATTGGCCAGGCGTGTCTTATGTACCCACTCATCGGGGACTGGTCAGAATGCGTCTTGTGTCCCCACTCTGTAATGTCGGCCTGCCAACATCACACGTCGCCTCCTCATCAATCCGTCCCTTCAATCCAACATATCAATGGCTGATTTCATCACTTCAACGAAGGTTTGCAGGAATTGCAAGCGGGAGAAGCCGGAAGATCAATTCATGTCGAAGAAAAATTCTTCCATATCATGTGGAAGGCTTACGGTTAACTGTCTCGACTGTAGGAACCGGCAAGCCCCACGCGCCCCTAAGCGTACCGCAGAACATGCCGAGCTACCCCCAATACACCGAGATGGGCCGCCATTGATAGACTTACAATTATGTACACCAATTAACCCACAAGAATCTATTTTGCTGGGAACACCAGTTGCCACATCATCACGAGCAGGCGCGACGATTCCTTCCCCAGCAGGTCCCTCAATTGCTTCTCAAGAAGGCGTACAACTTGGGACGCCGATTGAATCTCCGGTATCGAGTCCTTCTCCTTGGCCGAGATCGGCCCGGGGAAGATATGCCCGCCAAGTTGTGCAGCCGCAACATTCGGCTATCGAATGCCCGGTCATGGAACGTCGATGTTTCGAGCTTCCGGATCCTGACTGGATGCATGATCTGTCGCATTGCCCGTTATCTGATAGAGATAAGGAGCTACTGGAGAAGTTCTGGACGGAGCTGGAGAACGACGGAATGGAACACTGCGCTCGCTGTCAGGAGACATGGTTTGATATGGGCTTGAAAGATGGCATTTGCAAGCGTTGCATTGCCAAGGACAAGAACAAAAAGGAGGACGAGCCTTGGTTTTTTTCAGCCGAAAATCAGTTAGATTTTGGCTTAATCCCCGCGTTCCTCCCCCAATTGACGATAGTAGAAGAGATGCTAATTGCTCGTGTTCATGTGTTCGTGAACGTCATGCAGGTTCGAGGGCAGCAGTACAAGTACCGTGGCCATATTGTGCACTTTCTTCGCGATGTTGGCAAAGTGTATCGCCAACTTCCCTTTCTACCTGCTGAATTGGATGTTATCCTGCTACGCCCTCCGAACGCAAGCGAACATGCCCACCTTAACCGCCAATTCAGACGCCAGTTCCGCGTACGCCGTCGTTGCCTTCAGGCGTGGCTGGATTTCCTGTCTCAAAACCACCCGGGCTACCGAGATATTACTGTCTGCCAGACACGGATGTCGGTGCTACCTGAAGATGGCGATGTACTTGACCAGGTCGCTACTGCGGAATCCACCGATCCTCCCTCAGCTAATTTGGGTACTGCGGAGCATGACGATGTTGAGCCAGACGAGGTTGATCAGTGCGCAGTGCCAGATCTGCTACCAGAGGATACAGAGATGGAAACATTACATTTGCATGTTCTCGGCGAAGAGCGCGATGAGCCGCTTCCTGTACGGCCACCGACGCAACAACATCAGCTTGATATGCCAGACATTCGGAGGACGCCGATCAATGAGTTCAGCCAGTCACAGGCACTCCTGTCCCTAGCCTTTCCAACACTATTTCCTCGCGGTCAAGCCGATTTCGTTGAGCCAAGGTTACGGCCTATCAAGTATGCGGGCTACATACAGCATGCCCTTCGATGGCACGATGGCAGATTTGCCCGCCATCCCACTTTCCGGTTTGTGGTTTTCAACACGCTGATGCGAGCACAGGCACGGGCGAAAAGCGGCTATTTCGTCAAGCAACACCAACAAAGGCAGGGCCTAACAACGCGAGATGATCTACTCGAAGCTTTCCAGAACCCCAAATCTGCAGAAGCTCAGCAGTTGCTCAATTCGATCAACCGCCAGACAGCACAACTTCGCGGGACACGCCCCTATTGGTACCGAAAGCGTCGAGAACTTGAGTCTTACGCCTACAACCTCGACTGTCCTGGTGCTTTTATTACATTCAGTCCAGCAGACCTACACTGGAGAAGCCTATATCAACATTTGCCTCAGTTTCAAGACTGGCAGGAGCTGCCCGAGCAACAGCGAATGGGCATGTCTAGCAAACTTCTCAGGGACAACCCACATATTGCAGCCTGGCACTTCTACAGGCGGTTTGGCTTATTCAGAGATATCGTTCTCAAGCAGAAATTCAACGTCACTGATTATTGGAACAGGTACGAATGGCAGGGTCGTGGGAGTAGCCATTGCCATGGCCTATTCTGGATGGACGGTGCGCCCGGTGTCGACCTGGAAAACGAGGATGCACGTAAGGAGTTCGCCCGTATCTGGAGATTCCACGTCACAGCTTTCAATCCTGAGCCAGCTCGAGTGTAACAGCAGGGAGAAGGTAACCCGTTGGCTGTAAATCCATTACAGCATCCCCTGACGTTTCAATGGCTCTCACAGGTTCTGAACCGCTGCCAACGCCACCATTGCAGTGAGGCATACTGCCTACGAAAGAAGAAGGGTTCAGAAGAGATTTCTTGCCGCTTCTTCTTCCCGCGAGACACGAGAGATACGGCTGAGGTTGTTCGACGACAAGGACAATCCTACTTCTCATTCGAGGCGGCCAGGAATGACAGCCTTATGAACCACTATAACCGGTGCCTGAGTCTTGGCTGGTTAGCCAACATTGATATCTCCCCCTATACCAGCCTCCAAGCTGTGATTAATTATGCAGCCAAGTATTGCAGTAAGATGGAGAAGCGGACTGACAGTTATGCCGGCCTGGGGCGGCAAATCTTGCCCTATGTCTCCCACCAGAATCCACTTCTATCTTTTGCCTCGCGTCTGATGAACAAGTTGCTTGGTGAGAGAGACTTTTCGGGACAGGAGATCTGCCATATCTTGCTCAACTGCGAGCTGCAGGAGGGTACCCGTGTTCTAAGAGCCGTCGATTGCCGTCCCTACGAGCAGCAGGGACGGTCGCTTCGCCTCCAAGGTGATCATGACGACGGTGAGGTCGTTGGAATATATGAGAAGTATCTTTCTCGCCTTCCCCTTCATGAAGAACTCACTTATCTCGACTTCCTAGCCAACTGGAATACAAGCAAGAGGGATGGGAGAAAGTGGACACGCTGGAGTCGTCAAGCCAAGCCTCGCGTGCTATACTACTTCCCGCGGTACAAGTCCAATCCCCGACATCACCAATACGATGATTTTTGTCGTGTGAAGCTAATGCTGGCTCATTCACATCGCGATCCCAGCGAACTACGCAAGATCGACGGCATTGAGTATGACTCGTATGCGTCTGCCGCCGAAGTCTGTTATGCGAAGCATCAGCACCCTGATGACTATTATGGCACACCTGACGCTGAAGAACGTCGACCAGATCCGGACGAGTTCGAGGAAGAATTTCACGAGCCTGAACTTCTAGAGGAGGACTGGCTTGAACTTGCCCGCCAGCTTCCCGACTGCGCACCAAGCCAAGAGGCAATAGATCTTCTGGGTCGGCGGGATATCGATATCCAACACGACTGGACGCCCCATGTCGGCCGCTACGCTGACCCAGGAATCGTTCAAGGCGATTATTGGCGCCACTTCATTGAGCAGCATCGTCTCTATATGGATGTTGAAGACCTGCCTTTAGACGTCCGTGATACACTCAACCCGGAGCAGCGTGTAGTATACGATACCTTTATTGGGCACTTCCAAAGCGGCAGCGAGGAGCAGATTCTACTGCATGTTGATGGTGGTGGTGGGACAGGCAAGTCCTACATGATCAAAGTCCTGTCTTCGCATCTTCAGAGGCTTGCAGGTAACCGGCCCAGTCCAATCTGGAGAGTTGCACCCACCGGAGTTGCAAGCAACCAGATCATGGGGACAACATTACACTCTCTCCTCCGGCTACCCGTGGATAGGGCTTTTACAGAGCTATCCCCAGCAGATGCTAATGCTGTCCAGAATAAGCTACGCGACGTCAGGTATCTTGTGATTGATGAGAAAAGCATGCTGGGTCTGCGTCAGCTTTCGTGGATCGACAAACGCCTTCGCCAAGTCTTTCCTGGCAGAGCAACCGAATTCTTTGGCGGCATGAGCATCATCCTCGTTGGTGACTTCTTCCAGCTCCCGCCGGTTGCGAACAAGCCTCTCTACTTTGATGGGCCACTCAAGGACCTGCATGAGGTCTCTGGCCAGACAGCATATAGGGCATTCAACCACACCGTCTTCTTGAAGAAGGTCCAGCGGCAGCAGGGCGATGACCAGGCCGGCTTTCGTCTCGCGCTTTCAGAGGTACGTGGTCTCAAGTTATCCATCGAATCATGGAAACTCCTGAGCCAGCGTGTGCGGGTCAAGCTAAGCCAGCGCGAGGTAGATACGTTTGACGCTGCTCTTCGTATCTATAGCAAGAAGGCTCGTGTTGACGAGTACAACTACGAGCACCTCATCCGCTTGAAGCAACCAGCAATCAAAGTCATGGCGAAGAACATTGGTAATGGTGCTGACAAGGCAACATCGGAACAAGCTGGCAACCTGGCTGGCCAGTTTCCGGTATGTATTGGTGCTCGTCTCATGCTAACCCATAATATCTGGCAACCAGCAGGCCTAGTCAATGGCGCCCGAGGAACAGTATATGACATCGGTTGGGCCCCTGGTGCTGATGCACATCGTGACCCGCCATGTGTCATCATGATGGTGATGGATAAGTATGCCGGGCCGTCATATTCAACCACAGACGACGGGCGCGAGGTAGTACCCATACTCCCAGTAAAGCGAGACTTCTTTCTGGGGACATCCGCGTGTACACGAAAGCAGTTCCCACTTCTGGTATCATATGCCATTACGGTTCACAAGTCACAGAGCATCACGGTGGACAAGATGGTGACAGATCTGTCGGAACGTGACTTCCAGACAGGGCTCAGCTATGTTGCAGTGTCTAGAGTCAAGACGTTAGACGGGTTAATGATTGATACCCCTTTTGAACGGGCATCTCTCCACTATGAGAAGCTACCTGATGGCAAGTAGAGTTCCATCATGTTATTTACGCTTAATGCTCTGCGAGCCCTAACAGTGTAGTAGGTGTTTTGATGAAAGTCCGCGACCAGGATCGACGCAAGAAACAGAAACTTGATCAGCCACTATTCCAATCTTTTTTTTCTTTATGACGTCGCTGTAGTATATAGACTGCGAACAGAAAGGTCGCGATCATGCACATGCTGCTTCACAGAGCGACAGAACACAGAGTCATTAGTATAGAATATCACATCATAGAGATACATTCTTCGGACTGTATTACACCCTCCCCACCTCCGGTGAGCGTGTCGGCATATTTTATAAGGTAATTAAGCCGGTTGGCCCATGCCTATGCACCAGACTAACAAGGTCGATAGACTCGGAACGTTATTCATGGACCTCGATGCCCTCTCTGGAATCATCGTCTACAAACATACCGGCCCAGGCGTTACTACAGTGACCGCCGCTCTGGATCGTATCACAATAGCGCATCCACTCACCGAGATTTGCGATCTTGAGTATAGTGGCCAAGTTACATATGCTTCCGGACGAAGTAGTGTCGAGATCACCTGCAAAGTCGCCAAGGCCAGAGAAGAAGGCGAACCCAGCAAACCTGAGGATGTCCTTCTCACCTGCACCTTTACCATGGTTGCTCTAGATCCCAACACAAGAAAGCCCGTCAACATCCCCAAGCTTGTACCTACCCATGAGGAGGAAGAGAAGATTTTTAAGGCTGGAGAGGCAAAGTCGTTGTCCAAGAAGGAAAACTCCAAGGCTTCGCTTCTTCAGACCGAACCTAACGATGCCGAATCTGCTCTGATTCATCAAATTTGGCTTCGACAACTTGCATACCATGATCCCAACAACGACCTTCGTCAACCGTCCAACGTCGTTGCTATGTCCAAGACCCAGCTTTCAACGGCTGCGATCATGCAACCTCAATACCGAAATCGTCACCAGACCATGATCTTTGGTGGTTTCCATTTGAAACAAACCTTTGAGCTTGCGTTCTGTTGTGCGGCCAGTTTTGCGCATGCACGACCAACCTTTATCAGCGCTGATCCCTGCACGTTCCGAAATCCCGTTCCTGTCGGCAGCGTTTTGTACCTGACCGCTACCGTCGCATACACCGATCCTCCCTTGTTGGAAGAAGACGGCACTGAGCCTAGCTTCCCGAACCCGGAGAAGCCCATGACTCGAGTGCATGTTCGAGTTGACAGCAAGGTTCGTGATGTCGAGCATGGTATTGCAAAGCCAACTGGCCAGTTCAACTACACGTTCTCCGTGCCCAAGGATCTCAAGGTTTTGCCACATACGTATGAGGAGTACATGGTGTACATTGATGCTAGGAGACGTGTTTCGCTGGGTGACAGTCAGCGAAAGGAAGAGTCCAAGGCCTTCTCCGAGAAGAGACCTGAGGCCTCGGATAATGTCAACCTGATTGGATAAGGAAGATTGGTGGTTACTTTAGCTGCCAATGACTAGCGTCAGAGAGTCTCGAAAGCCCAATTGGTATCTGAAAGAGAACAAGCAAGGCGACACGTAAACTTTACATGGGAGAGGATTCAAGGACTATGTCCGAGTCTTAATACCGGTTTCACAGCTTTTAGTATAGTAATAAGCCACTGATGGGTACCTTGACTTACCTCTCACTTGCGAATGCGATAAGACCGTTAACTCTGGGCTGAGGATATTACTTTTGATCGATTTCTAAGCCTGGGCCTTGCTTCTTTACACCTACCATACTGAGAATATCTGACGTCGCGAAGACGCCCAAAACTGACAATATGACGCTCTCAAAGGAGGAACGACTGCAACTTGCAGCTATCGATCCCGAGCTGGACGAAGTAATTCACCAGCGCCAACAAGATTGACTTTGAACTGACCAATTGCAGTACCTCAAAACGAGACAGATTCCCCAGATTGACACCTCTGACCCAGCGAAAGCCATTGCAAGTTTGAGATGGTACATGAAAAGCCTTCAAAAGCCACCCAGCTCAGAGAGTGGTGTTGCTGAGCGCGATGTCTACTACACTGCAAGAGATGGCCACAAGCTGCGCGCCCATGTTTACGAACCGGCTGACAAGTCTGATTCAACCCCGCCGCTTGTTGTTGTTGAATGTTGGAGGGTTCACCCTCAACTTCAGGATTAAGGTTCAGGATTAAAGTTTGACGCCCTAAACTTAGATCGTAGGACTTTCATCTAGGACTTTCTAGGACTCAAGTCCTAGAAGGAACCAGTCAAAGATATAAGGTCTCAATGGTCCTTCGATTGCGACAGGATAAAACAATATACACGATTCACCTTAATATCTGACAGTTGTGTACATCCACGGTGGCGGGTGGACTATCGGATCTCCAGAAGATGCTGAGCGTTGGTGTCGTGATATTGTACAAAAGCTGGACGTCGTTTGTCTGGCGCCTTCCTATCGCCAAGGACCTGAAGACCCGTTTCCAGCTAGCATCAACGATGTCTGGGACGGTTTGAAATGGATTGCTGCCAATGCGGAGTCCGAGCTGAAGGTCTCACTGTCGAAAGGGTTTATCATTGGTGGTTCATCAGCCGGAGGAAACATGGCTGCAATAGCCAGTCATCTGGCCCGCGATGAGAAACTGGCTCCTGCGATAACTGGTGTTTTCCTGCTCGCTCCAATGATACTTCCACCGGAGACACGAGATACCCTGCCTGAGAAGTACAAGGAATCCTATCTTTCTCGGACCCAAGCTGAGTGTAAGAACGATCCTATTCTCACTCCAGCTCTGGACAAGATCTTTCACGACTCTGCGGCTGGGGATACATCTTCACCGCTCTTTGTTCCATTTACCTGGCCAACGGGTCACGGCAACTTACCCAGGACGTATTTCCAAGTTTGTGGAATGGATGTCCTTCGTGATGAGGCGTTGATCTACGAGCAGGTGTTACGCAAGGATAATGGGATTGAGACGCGGTTGGATATCTATCCTGGAATGCCTCATATCTTCTGGGGTGCCTTCGCGCATTTGAGCCAGGGGAAGAAAGCAGCTGTAGATCTTGTTGAAGGCATCAAGTGGCTTTTGAAGTGATATCTCGATCATTTAGCTTTGCCCGCCAAGAGGCAGAGTTCTTACTAGATATCAATAGACTGATGATATTATACTTTTATATCGACGAATCTCTCAAGTCTGATAAGTCTTCCCCCGGCCCTTGTTGCTATGCCTTCTCTCCCTCCTCCCTCTTCTCCGCCGCTAATCGTGCCAACACTTCCGAAGACTCCTCCTCCCGACCAAGAGGCACAAAGACATGATCATGATAGAACCCACTAACAGGGTTACAGCCAATACCCTTTGCCGCTAATCTCGTTGCGATAACCGCCATGAAACCGACAGCTTCCAAGCTCGATGTGACATTGAGACTGATCATTTTGCAGAGGAAGAAGTAGTCGATCTTGTGTGACTCTGCGTAGTCCTTGCTGACAATGACAGTGATTCCCTCAGACTCCTTGAACATCATTTGCGTTTCGGACAGGGGTGGTAGATTGGAGGTATCGGTGAACGTGGCGAAGACGTAGGTGGTTGGATGGAGCGTATGGGTAAGAGTTGAGAGGAGCTTGCCCAGAGAGAGCTCGCCCGGGTCATTGGCTATTGGCGACATGGTTTTGCACTTGGAGACGGGACGGCCACTGGAAGTATTCCGATATAGTAGTGCCGACCTCTTGTTCCTGGAGTTTTATATGTCGATGGTGGAGTACAAAATGCGGAGACGGTCAATTGTAGGGCGCGCCCTATTAGAGTTAATGACGTCATTTTGAATTCGTTACGATGGGGTCAAGATTTGTTGGATTAGTGATAGCGCCTCGATAAAAGAAACGTGTATTTTGTGAGTCCCCGGATATATCAATACCGGGTAGCGGGGAAAACACCTAAAAGGACAGAACAGAGACAGAAGAAGGACGAGCTCCTGGGGACTAGATTGATCCTCAAGCGTGAACATTAATCCTATTTTAATTGGACATCAACCCTACTCGCGTATCCAACAATTCCCAGCCGCCAATCTAACAATTGCCCGTTGGCGTTTCAACTCTGACGCATCTCGGAGCTTTCTAGTCAAACATCCTATCCCCTCAATTGTCGAAAGGCTCCCGAAGTACCTTGCCCCACATGACCCCTGTCACATGACAGGTACATGAGGGGAACCTAAAGATGCATCATTAACCATTCTTGCCAAAATCGTCATATAAATCATTTCAAAGTCATCTATGAATTCTCAATTAATACCGGGCGAGGCCTTTAATGCATATGATGATAGCAGCTTCATCAGGGAATATGGCAAAGAAGGTCAAGGAAGCCTTTGGCGCCGGTGAGTAATAATAAGAAGAGGCATCAATCAATTTGGAGGTTTGAGCAGTGCGATGTCGCGATTTGTAACTCAAAATATTGTCGGGACATCTATCATAGGCTAATTTAGGTAGGAAATAATGTACCCTTCATTCTTGCATTTTAATTGGGCAGATATCCCTGGAGTGACCTGGCGGGAACCTTTCGACAATTGAGGGGATAGAAGAGGTATTTATAAATCCGCTTTTACATGATATTTAATCTTGAACTTGTTTCTTTTTTATTTCCCTTATCTCTTATATTTTAGTAAAATTTTAAGAATACGATTATTTTTATTATATTATGTTGAACGGATCGCGGGCGCCTTGAAGTCCCTAATTGTATGTGTATTATGGAACCGTAGTCCCTCCCCGTCTTCAGAGAGGGGTCTGCTTATTATGCTTTCCTAAACAGGCCCTGTCCCGCTGACAGATGGCTGATAGGTCACATGATGCCCCTTGCGGCCACCCTACTGTTCAACAGTTATAAACGAATTAATTACATACCGTAGTAATAATGCAAGTAAGGGGATTTCTATTTAACTTACTAATTTATTTAATTTGCTTAACGTACATGATAAGCAAGTGGACCAGAAATGTGAGTGGACCAAAAATTAATTTCTGAGCATTTACACCTTAAGATCTAGTATCTTTAATAAGCTTTTAAAAATCAGAATCAACTTACTAGAAGCTAATACTTATAGGGTATATTAAATGGATAATACATTTTATATAACTAAGTTTTTAAAATTCTAAAAAAATTTACTTAAGAATAGATTAAAAAAATCTTATTCGCACCGTCTTTTTTAGGACTTTTAAATTTTACTAGCTAGCTATATTTTTAAAAAATCCTGGAAAAATATTTATATATACGATTTTAAGTTAGATACTTAAAGAATATCCCTACTTACATTTTAGACTTAAATAGCATGTTTTAAAAAATTTACAGTTTAGTATTTAAGGTACACAGTATAGTTGGTCCACTCACTTGTTGTCAGGCATTACGTGTATTCGGTTCATTGATGTGAATTGGTGTATTCATGTTGTGTTCTGTTGAAATCTTCCCCTTAGAGGTTTTACCATTTCGGCTAAAATATGCTGACACCCTCACCGATGGTGGGGAGGGTGTAATACAGTCCGAAGGATGTATCTCTATGACATGATATTTCATACTAATAACTCTGGCCGTGTGCTGGCGCTCCACGGAGCGGTAGCTCGGCATGTTCTGCGGTACACTCAGGGGCCCCTTGCCGGTTCCTACTCCGTACAGTCGAGACAGTTAACCGTAAGCCTTCCACATGATATGGAAGAATTTTTCTTCGACATGAATTGATCTTCCGGCTTCTCCCGCTTGCAATTCCTGCAAACCTTCGTTGAAGTGATGAAATCAGCCATTGATATGTTGGATTGAAGGGACGGATTGATGAGGAGGCGACGTGTGATGTTGGCAGGCCGACATTACAGAGTGGGGACACAAGACGCATTCTGACCAGTCCCCGATGAGTGGGTACATAAGACACGCCTGGCCAATGAGAGCAGAGGTTATGCTTTCAAGTTATCGTCGTACAGGAGAGGCAAGCCGGTCGCGGCTTGCGCATAGAGCCTTGAGGAACGAAGCAATGGCTAGGGCGCCATTGATGGCCAAGAGCCTGGTATAGACATTTTCACAAAGTAGTATTCCCAAGGTTGCGTGGGGTCGTCTTATATTTTCCATCCGAAATTTTCTTTGGTGGCTTACATGTGTCCGGGGTATCCTGGTGACGCATGGCACGCTATGCACTGTGACATCAAAGTAAAGTCTAATGGCAGTTTGAAAGGGTGAGAAAATAAGGGGATGGTGAGACAAGCATCATGAAACTTTAAGAGGATTTTATTATAAAACAACCAGGAACCATTCGAGGTCATCTTTCAACAGAAGACACATTGCGTTCTCAGAATCCTTATTGTTATTGCACCATGGCCAGCTGCTCAGTTCGCTTTGAGTTTTACTGCGGCGAGACTCAAGAGCTCAAATACACCCACGACCTTCCCCGCAGTCTTGTCAGCGAGGCTCAGACTGCAGGGCAAAACGCCGGCTATAACAGTCTGTTTATGACTGCAGTGCAGCCTTTCATGAAGGAGCATGAAGCGGCGTGTCGTGCCGCTTCAAAACCATTTTGCGAAAACTGTGGGTTGTTTGCGATGAACATCTTGCAAAGCCCCATGTCTTGGCTTCACGTGGCGGAGGATCCTTTCGTTGGCGTCTGGGTCAGTCCCGTGTGCGGGAAAGGGGGATGTGAGACGCGGATACGGCAGGAAATCCAGGATACAATGGCTGGAATTGTTCAAGAGGATCCGCAGCGAAGGCGGAGTACTTGTATGGAAATTTTGCCGTGCAACGTATGTGGAACAACGGAAGGCATGAAGAAATGTGGTCGGTGTAAAGTTGTTGGATACTGTGGGAAAGAGCACCAGAAGGCTGACTGGAAGATTCACAAGAAGATTTGTATTCACAAGGGCAGTTAACCTGGCTGAAAAGGTATGCTTGTCCCCGTCCTTTGGAGAGACATCGAGGGTCACTGCTGACGCTGACCAGCAGGAAAGAGATAAGGTTATGTATCTGCGGGAGATGGGGTCCTTTCAAGGTTATGCCGGTGTAGGAAGTGAGGGTTCATGAAACACAATGCAAGATTGAAAACGTCGTGCATTGGAGACGCAACTTTGCGTCTGTAGAATCATGTATCCCCATCATGACCAAATGCCGAGTTCGCCTCTATAAAGTATGTGTGGGAAGAGACACAAAGCATTAAGAGTTGCGGGCAATGCCGGGCCGCGGGAGATTTTTTTTTTTTTTTTTGGGTGGGGGGGTATCAAAGGGCAAAGTGGAAGATTCACAAGAAGGTCTGCATGCCCAAGGCTGGGCAATGTGATCGAGGAGCATTTGCGTACTTTGGAGAATATTGATGGTTGGCACTGGTGGGTGGACAAACAGATATCTCAGTCAATTTGTTGCTGTACGAAGTGACCGTTTGTTGCTACAAATAAGGGGATTTTTTTGAGTGGATCCTTATTCAACTTCCTGATATTTCTTTGGGGGATGACGGTTGCGATGTGGTCAGTGATGTTATTGGATTGGAGGCAATTTGGATTGGACTGGATTTGGGTTTCTCGAAGATTTGGACTGGATTGGATTGATTGGCAACCAGCTCCTGGAGCTCCAATGGTCTAACCTGATAAGGCAAGAGCTAACCCTAATTTGGTGGTCGTGACAGGGCTCCCGTCGCAGACACCAACACAACTACGCCCATCGTTAACATCCAACTCGCACATGTCCGTTAGCAAAACCATGGAAGCAATCGCGTCGCTCGTAACTTCAGCAGTCCTTCTGCTCTGGCAGACGTATCTGAACAGCCCACTCACCAGCTACACCATGGCTACTATCTCCAGCTATTTCGGCCCTGGCAGCTGTCGCCGTCCTGACCCTGAAAGAGTTATTCTTGATCCAACGTATCTTAACCCTCGCCCAAACGACCACGACGGAATCCTGATCGAACCCGACGAATTCGAGCGGAATGGAAAGCAATATGTTCGCTACTCTGTCCGGTAATAGGGTATGGTAGACATACAATTCAAGCTGGACACGCCTAAGTGGTTCTCGTACTGCTATCTGTGCCAACTGCTACAGCGCCGAGGGAATTGTGCACATTGGAGAAGCAAGTTGCTGGAGAATATAATGAGCACTTATTTAAGTGCTGCCATAACCACACACAAGGGCACAATTCCAGTTCTACCCTAAATCTGCTTATTCAGCGGCTCATTTATTGTCCCAAAAGGGTAACAATCTGAACTGGATCCGTTCTGGATATACTGGAGGCTGCCTGTCCCCAAGTCTGGACTGGATTGGATCGAGGCTCAGATCCAGCTCCAATCCAATCCAATAACATCACTGGATGTGTTCGGGGCGCGTCTGACGAGAACGCTGTGATTGAATCGGATGCGGGCGGATCTGGACGGCAGGTAGTGGCAAAATCCGCCTCTGGTACATCAAGTTCATCTTGTGAGGAAGCCGAAACCTTGAGGGATCTGATAGGCTCGTTGCTCTGGGAAGAGGGAATGGTGCTAGAAGAGGCCGGGGATAGGCGCCGTTTCTTCGTAGGGGTCTGGTTGCAGTAAGAGTTTGTTCGCTTGGCCGGTGGTGTATTCGGTTCGAGCGAAGGGGATTGGTGAACTGTTGGTTTTGGTGGCGAGGAAAACATAGCTTTCGCATCCCCAAAGGCCATATGGCCGGAGGACGGTTGTTTCGGTGGGGTCGAGAGTGATAGGGCTGCGGCGGCCGATTTGGGCGTGGCCCTGTCGAGAAAGGTCCAGGTATCTGGTACGACGATGAAAACGTAGTCCCGGTCAAAGCCAGGCGGGTGCACCATGATGATGTAGTCGAGCATGCCGGCAACTTTGCCCGTGCAAGTGAAAAGCGCGTTAGTCTGGAACTGGGTGTCCTGTCTCTCGACCATTTTCTTGCACAGGGCTGCCCAAGGATTGGCATGGATGGGGAAGATAACAAAAACCTGGAATGGATGGAAGCCTTTGAAGGGAGTCTTGTCAGGGTTTCCAGGGGCAATGAACGTAGAAAGTTGGACGAAGCCACAGCACTTCAACTGGACGCCGTCGAGTCCTGGAATAGACTCCTTTCGTAGCAGTGTGCGGCCGGAACCGACAACAGGGCCGGTGAACGCGACAACGGGAGGGACAGCGGGGAAGTGGTCTACGGAGGCAAAGTTTCGGGGGAGAATGCTTTAGCTCGAGTCAGGGCGGGATGCCAAGGTCAGCTGTATGCAGCATGCTTACGGCTGGTAGCCCTGATCACGGATGATGAGAGCCCCTTAATGCGATGCTGGTCCTGATAGGCAAACCTGGACGGTCCCGCGTTTGTCTGGCTCTCGAGAGGTTTGCGTGGGTTCGAGGGGCTATTGGGGAAGGGAGCGGGAGGAGACATAATACACTGGAGCAGTGGCTGTCGAAAAGGCGCCAAGAATACCTGAGACGAACGTTGGAGGCAATAGGACGGTAGATACCGCGGTAGGGAACAGCAGAATAGGAAGTGAGCAGGGTGGCGATGGCTTGGCCTCTACTGTATATGGGTATAGGTAGACGCAGTGGTAGTTCCCGCGGGCCGCAGCATCTGGGGTGCGGGGTTCGGCAGATCAGAGCCCAGACGACGGTCCGGGAATGCGTCACGTTTCAAGTAAATGAAGAATGCGGGGTTTGGGTCGTGGGCAAGATCGATTTGGCAGCAGAGACGTCATCGAAAGTGATGTATGTGACAGTATGTCAAATGTCAGAAGTGAGATGTGACTGTAGGGGATGGGACAGTGTCATCTTCTGTGAAGCAGGTGAATGAAGGCGAAGTGCCGACATGGAACCAGCTGATATCGGGGTAGCAACGGTTTCAGCTTGAGAGTGTCACCGACTTGGGAGGATGGGAGTTGCGGCGCCACAAAGGGCAACGTCGGCAGTTGAGCAAGAGTCTGGGTTGTAGGTATATAGGAAGGGTTGTAGGTGGTTAAAGGACTATTAGCGGACCGCTCGGATACTGCAGGAAGCAATGCCGTATTAAGGAGCATAATCATCATCATCCCAGAAGCGAAATCGTGCAACTAAAGAGGGTCCGACGCGAAAATCTTTTGATCTACCGTCCGCCTGGAGTCATAGTCATGGCTGATTCTATCCCTTCAACGAAGATTTGCAGGAACTGCAAGCAGGAGAAGCCGGCAGATCAATTCATTTCGAAGACAAAGTCTTCCCTAACATGTAGAAGACTTACGGCTAACTGTCTCGGCTGTAGGAATCGGCAAGCCTCACGCGCCTCTAAGCGCACTGCAGAACAAGCTGAATTATCCCCAATACGTCAAGAAGGATTGCCATTGATAGACTTGCAACTACGTACACCAATTAACTCACCAGCGGCGAAGCCACATAGGGCGGTTGGCGATCCCCCGCTTTTTCGCCGGAATGAGGCACCCACGGTTCGGATTACTCAGCCCGAGCAATCAGTATCTGAAGACATTAGACGAAGCGAGCTAGCAGCAGCAATTGCACGGGGTCTGCCCAAGAGACGTCGGGGACGGGGACGGCCGCCGAAAGCCAGACCAGACACTAGCAGTGTCTCCAACATAGGAGGTTCGGCGCAACATCCTGCGCTCACTCACCGAGACCAGCCTCCGAGGAAGCAAATCCGAGCTGGAACCCGAAGGCAGAGAAGACTTGAGTTGCAGGCCGAAGACCTGGTGAGCGTGCTGCACTTCTTGGAGGACGAATTTGCCGTGAAGGAGAGTCTGTCCAACGAGCAGACGTGGTGTACGCCGATACCGCACGAGAGGAAGGTGTCGACCGCGCGAGATTTCTACAAGGCGTTCCACGATGTGGACGCTTTGGCAATACGGACTTGCATGCTGTGCTACCGTAAGCGCACGAAAAGGGAGTTGAGAGACGTGACATGGGACCAATGGATGTCGAGCTGCGTCAAGAAGGACACCCGTTCGCCATTTTCATGTCGGAGCTGCTTTCCCGTGGGCGAGACCTTCTCGGCATGTGCGGAGTGCGGTCGTTGCTTGAGGCGGGGTGTTCTGTCGCCTGCGGCCCAGCTTCACAGACGTATTGGGTGTGAACATATGTTTCCCGAGGAGCTGAAGGGCCTCACGCCGGTTGAGGAGAAGCTTATCGCGCTGAACTCATGTTACGGGTTCGTCACAAGGTACAGCATTGCGAGTAGCCAGAAGCAGAGTGCCCGCTATCCGAAGCACATCAAGGGCCACATCACGGTGTTCCCGAACAATGTGCAGGAGCTGGCCACAAAAGTGCTTCCCCACCCGCTCGTGCAAGTGATGGAAGAGATCCATGTCTCGTGGCAGGGTGCGGAGAAGCCAGCGCCAAGCGACCTGTCAGGTTTATTGTCGGTGAGGCGACGGGTCGTTGAGAGGGCCCTCGTCTGGCTGAAGAAGAACAACCCGCATTACGCCGAGATTGAGATTGACGCGGCGGAGATGGAGAGCTGGGGCGCGCCGCCGCATGGGGTGCCGCCGCTGGTGTACGATCGCATGGAACGGAATGAGCCAACGGCATGGGAAAAAACGCGAACGGCGCAAATTGTTCCTCCAACGGAGCGTGGAATGGACGACGAGGGATCGTTGGAGATCGAAGAGGTCCTCGCTCGTCTTAACCGAGGAGAAGACATACCCAGTGGCGACACCCAAGGGCCGGAGCTGACCGAAGACGAAGATGGCCACCGGAGCGAGGCCGAGTCTGGTCAATTGGGAAAATCGATCAACGAAGTCACTTTATCGGGTATGTTTGCTCTGGACGGGCCGCCAGATGTACCCGATGTAGAGAAGCTCTTGTTTGCTTGCAATGCTGTGAACGGGGATGCGGCGGCTGGGGGAGGCAAAGCGGGCCCGACAACACGAGTGGAATCGTCGGAGAGACGGCCAGGGCTTGCTGACGGATGTGAGCCATACATTCACGTTTCTCGGGGCGACGAATTCGCCGACACATTTGATGCCTCGTTCTTCGCGAAGACGTTCCCCACGCTATTGCCCTTTGGCGTTGGGGGGCCACGGTTGGTGGAAGAAGCCGCCCTAAGCGTGAGAAGAGGTGCCGATATGGGCGGAGCAGAGGTGGCGGCGCAAGACCTCGTCTCTTCCCGTAACATGAGTCTGCGAACGTGGGCCGACATCACGCTCCAGCGCCATGGTGGCCGATTTGCGACGCATCACATCTTTTCATTCCTTGTGTTCAACCTGAGTGTACGGTCGAGGAACCGTCGCGTCAGCATGTTGAGCGTGACGAGGAAAGATTTCCGCAAGATAGAGCGCATTGTACGGTCGCTCTCGGCAGACAGGTTAGCAGCGGCAAGGATCGAGTTGGAGAACTCAGGAAAAACGAGTGACGAGGGTGTGAAGGAGCTTTTGAGAAGTCTTTCCTTGTACGGCTTCCGGCAGCCTATGTCCAGAGAAAATCGCTTGAGTATGCGGCGGAAGATACAGTCGCTTGTTCTTCGTCATGGAGTGCCGGCGATCTGGTTCACGCTCAATCCAAATGATATTACGAACCCGGTAAAGCTGCGACTTGCGGCATACCGCACCAGCGAGCCTGACGCGGCCGAGGCTTTCCTGAAGAGCCTTGGCATGTCGTACAAACGCCTGCGGCTGGCCATTTCCGACCCCATGAGCTCGGCCATCTTCTTCCACCGGGAGATGACGTTGTTCTTTGAGCATTATGTCAAAGTGGGAGAGGAGTCGGTATTCGGGCGCATCATCGACTATTTTGGTGCTGTCGAGACCAACGAACGAGGGGCGCTTCATGTCCACGGGTTGCTTTGGTTGCATGGAAACGCGCACTTGAGTTCGATGATTGCCGATATCGACGGCGAAGACCAAGCAACGTACCGTGAACGTATCATCCAATACATAGATAGCGTGTTCTCCGAGGTACAGTATGGCCCTAGGCACGTTATTGAAGAAGATGCAGCGGTCGAGGCGGGGCCAAAGCTGACATACCTATGAGGTAGGACTTGGACCAGGAAGGGTATTGCGCCCTCCAAGCGGAACGGTCGGTGGCATCGGACATTTCCTCCCTGCTTGACAACAGGGAGCAATTTTCGGCCGCATTTGACGAGGAAGCGAATTTCTGTGCCGGTGCGACACAGACCCATACTCATAGCCCAACTTGTGTCAAGTACTCCTTCAGCAAGGGCAAAGGAGGAGGAAAGAAGCGTGGCCTTTGTCGATTCCAGGCGCCATGGAGACTAGTCGAAAAGACTGCCTTCACGGCAGACGGCGTGTTGCAAATTCGAAGGAGGCATAGCATGGTGAATCGGTGGAACAAGGCCATGGCCGTGGGGCTTCGCCACAACCACGACATCTCCTTCATAGCGACGCAGCGGAAGACCATGGCCCTCATTTATTATGTCACAAATTACGCGACGAAAGTGGAGGATCCGGTGTGGAAGCGTGCGGCCGCCGCGGCAGAGCTCTTGACCGCATCAACGGGTGAAGGGACGGCCAACGGATGGGGATATGGTGGAGAAGGTGCTACCGATGACGCCGTCAAGGGGAACAGGACGCGGCAATTCTTGATGAGGGTGGCGAACCGCATATTCACGGAGCGATCCTATCGCAGGTCGAAGTCATCGCCCACCTTCTGGGATACCCGACCGAGTTCACCAAGAGCAGCGATTGGACGTTCCTAAATGTCTCTCTGCTCTACTGGCACGTCTTCCGACGATGGCGACACCTCCGGCAAGAGAGCGGGGCAGAGGGTGCAAACGATTCCGTGGACGAGTCGATAGTCGTGGAAGAAGCAGGTGAAAGGATTAGCTATGCTGAGGCATACCAGCACCGCGGAGACATTTTGCGAAGCCTGTGTCTATATGACTATGTGTCGCTCGTCAGGCTCAAACGAGTCGGTAAGGATGAGATCCCTGCCGCTTGGGGAGAGGTGCCATTCGAGAGCGAGTGGGAGCCTGGAAGAGGCTGGTTGCAGGTGCTGAGACGGCCGGGGAAGCACGCCAGCGTCTGCCTTGATGGCTACCTGAGCAAGGATTTCGACCAGGATGACGAAGAGTCGTGCTATCGAAGGTGGGTCTGCCGCCGCCGACAGAGTGTTAAAAGGTCGTGTTGAAGAGGCTAACCTCCATGCTGAAGAGCAGCCGTGCAGCACCTTGCGCTATTTGTGCCATGGGAGTCTTTTCTGTGTCGAGAAGCGGACGACATCAACAGCATATGGGCGCGGGCACGAGAGGCACTTCCTCCCAGAATATTATGCCTCGTCGATAATGTGCAACTACTCCGACGGTCGGCCGAAGACGCGAAACGCGACGCCAGGCAGTGGGCAGCCTCAGCCGGTGACGCTGACTTCACGGCCGCACGTACGGGTGAGGAAGGAGAAGGCGAGGCTGGTGAAGAGGCCGCATCGGTTTACCAGTCTGGCAGCATCGGTAACGCAACGCGTCTGATTGACGTCGTGAGAAGTGCAGTGGGCGCCAACCAGATCACTGCCGGCTCGCCGGAGATCATGGCAACAATGGAGCAGCTCTGTCGCTTCCAGCAGTCAGCACTGAGCTCGACTGCTGAGCTCCAGGCCACCGTAATGCCCGAACGGGGAGAAAGACTGATAAGCATACCAGAAGGGGCATTTTCGGGGACGGTTATACCACCGCAGGATCAGGTCAAGGCGATCAAGTCGCAGCAGATCTGTGCCTCCAGAGAGAGGGAGCGAATGATCCAGGGCCTACAAAATATGGCCGCGGCCGATAAAACTGAACACAGTGCGGCGGTGCGAAGTGTGCTCACTGGTTTCGGCGAGGAGGATATCCAAATGACGGCAGCCGACTTGGAAGAGACGGCAGCCGAGGCAGGTCCGCGCATGGAAGTCGACTTCGGTGCATCAACGTCCTTCCTTGAGGCAGGTAAGGCTCTGGCAGCGCGGTTCACATTGAACAGGAGGCAGACAATCGCCTTCCTCATCATATGCCGCCAGCTCGACTCTATACAATGTAGCGACAGAGGCGATGTCGGTCAGCTCTGCGAATTTGTTGGTGGAGAAGGTGGAACCGGCAAGTCACGAGTCATCGAAGCACTTGTCGAGCTCTTCGCATCAAAAGGTATTTCGAACCGTCTGCTGATCACGGCGACGTCGGGGACTGCCGCAGCGCGCATCAACGGTATCACGATCCACTCGGCCTGCGGGTTCTCCAAGGACCAAGCGGCGGGCGCGAACACGGCCAAGGACCTCGACGGTGTGCGACTGCCAAAACAGGCTGAGCGATTTGTCCATGGCCAGTCTCGTATGGACTGGCAGGAGAAAGACGTGCTCGTCGTCGACGAGGTGAGCATGCTGGGAGCTCGGACGCTGCACACGGCGAACGAGCAGGTCTGCCGGCTCCGCGGATCGCAGCAGGACTTTGGCGGGATCCCCATCGTCCTTTTCTGCGGAGACTTCCACCAGTTCCGCCCGGTTCAGGAGAGGTCGATCCTGCTGCCGAGCGTGGCCGTCTCGTGGGACGAAGACAACTCGTTCAAGGCCGAACAACGGCACCGGCATGACAAGGCGCACGCGTTGTGGAAGAAGTTCACGACGGTCGTCATGTTGGACGAACAAGTACGTGCCGCCGGAGATGCGGAATTGCAGAGACTGCTAAAGCGGATCCGGTCGGGCGTGCAGGACCGCACGGATTTGGACCTCCTCAACTCAAGATGCTACCGGGAAGGCAGGCGGATCCCGTGGGAATCGGGCATCACCGTGGTGACGCCGCTGAACCGGAATCGGTGGAACCTGAACATGGAGGCGACCTTGTCGTTCCAGATCCAGCAGCGGTCGATGATGCGAATCTTCATATCCGAGCATAAGTGGAAGCACGGCCTGCCGACCGAGGAAGAAGCCACCATGATGCTGAACCAGGGCGACGACAGCGCAGTACCAGTACCAGGCGTCTTCATGTTCGTGCCAGGGATGCCCGTCGTCGTGAACCACAATACCCATCAGGGCTTGAAGCTTGTCAATGGGGCCAGTTACACAGCGCTTGACGTCATCCTCGACAAGGCGCACCCGGGCCATCGGATCTCTGCCGATACGATGGTCCACTTCGGGCCGCCGGCGGGGATAATACTGGAGTCGGAAACGACAAAGAACTTCCACTTCGTCGGAATGCCGCCCGGCACGATCCTGTTGATACCCACGAGTGTCAGCGTACATTGCCAGCGAAAGCGGCCGTGGCAGCAGAACGACGTCAGCCGAAAGGGTCTGCCGTGCGCCGCGGCTTTCGCGTGCACAGACTACAAAGTGCAGAGCAGGACGCTCGAGCGCGTAGCCCTGGAGCTGCGGGGGGCGAGGACGACAAATGTCGACGGACACATAGTCCCCGCGGAATGCGATCCGTACAGCCTGTACGTGCAGCTGTCTCGGTGCCGGTCGCTGGACGGCATCATGCTCATCTCCAAGGTGCGGGAAAGAGATCTGGTGGGCAACCAAGTTCCCCGGGAGATGACCGTGGCAGAGGCCAGACTAGAGGAATTGAGCAACAAGACTGTTCAGGAGGCTCTGCGGTGGCTGGATGACGATTTTCGAGGTCCAGGGGTCTGACGTTCCTCAAGGCACATCTGTCCAGTCCCCGTTGAGTGGAGACACGAAACCGACCAATGAGAGGGGTTCTTTTAAGGCCAAGTCGGGGGCGGGGCATAAGGTCCTTTCGTTCCTCAAGGCATAAGGTCCTTTCGTTCCTCAAGGCATAAGGTCCTTTCGTTCCTCAAGGCATAAGGTCCTTTCGTTCCTCAAGGCAATAGAAGTCCTTCGGACTGAATTATTCGTCCGGGGGGCCGTAGGCCCCAAAAAAGTCTCCTAATGGAACACAGGACGTGCTGAGCTAAACTATCTACAATCACTGCCGTGCTGATTCTCGCTCGGATCATCTGCAAGGCCTCTTGGATCGGAGCCGTATACATGCTCGAGCGTTTTCTGTACTCATTACCTCCAAGAGGCACCTCTCTACTCGTAGCCAGCTCTACAGTAGTTGTCGGTGAAGCACGTCCCATGGACATCAATACAGTTGATCTCAGCAGAGCTTCCCTCCAGCAACCCTTCTATCTACTTCATCCAGCATATCATCGGCACAAAGGCGCTTTACTTTCAAGAGGTCATCCCGTCAGCGGGAACTATTCCTCTCCAGCCTAGAATTCTCTTGCACAGATAGATCAACTAGCTTTCCATACCCTGAGGCAGGAAGTCCATGGTCCCCTAAGATCGCCAGTAGCTGCAACCCTAGAACCGTGCATCCTTGGGGAAAACCCTTGCAGGAGAAAACCCCAAGGCGGCTAGAACGCTGCTCTGTGGACGAGGTAGTCGCCTCATTCCACGGTCTCTAGGTAAGCTCTGTACTATTTCGACCTAGCGGTTTTGTCTAGTGGTCTCAGCCAGTGAGACAAATTGTCGAAGCCCGGTCGTGTTCCGGGCGGCAGCCGAGGCTGCAAAGAAGAAGAGGTTCTCTGGGCAGTATGCGACTGCAGAGATCGATCATGCAGCTTCCGAGCTGCAAAAAGGGCAGCGAGCCATGTGGGGCTCGCGCGTCGAGATAAGGGGGCACCAGAGGGCCCTAGAAGTCGAGCAGCTAGCGGCTGCTGGTGTTGTTCAGGCAGCAAAAGCTGCAGAGGTCGGTCGTACGGGAAGTCGAGGGGCGCAGAGCCCGGATTGTCGAAGGCTCGCGAAGCCGGAATGTCGAGGTAAGAAGAAGCCGCAAATACTGAATCCCTTTCTTCAGGCAGCTGTTAGGGTCCCGTTAGCCCCACAGTTGCTTTTGCTGCCATTTTGGACTGCAAAAATTCTTTACCCTAGCAGCGCGCTAACAGCGGGAGAGAGTTGTCCGGAGCCGGAACATACAAATAATCCGGCGGTTCTAGGGTAGCTGCTCCATTCAGATATATCAGATGTACAGATGCTTGTTGTTACGACCCTCGCGGTTACGTCACGTGCGCCCCATAAAACTCCCCACTTCACTCACCAATCACGCCAGGACCGAAGGATTACTTTTCGGTCCCCCATCTTCGACCAACCATCAGGGCTGCCGTCAGATCAATCAAATCAGATTAGGACGTAAATCTGAACTGAACTGATAATTTGCCCTCTACATCTGATCTGATTGATTGATTGATAGATATCTGATATATAATAGGTCACGTGGAGCTATTCCCAGCCTCACGATTCTGCCCGTGGGATCTGACTGCCTTGTTGCTTAAGCATAGACCCCATAGAGTAACACACCCTCCCCTTATCCAGTTCTTCAGTAATTGGATCGACTCAATGCTCGATCCAAGTAGAGAATGTCGCTGTGAGCTGACTGTAAGCTTCGCAAGACTGAATGTTCTCTTGCAATCGGTTGACATGGCCGAGATTGCAAGGACATCCAATGCAAATCTACTCAAACGCGGGATTGCTATGATCAATCCACCAAAGTCTGGCTAAATCTATGCCGTATCAGAGCGAGAGGTAGAAAAAAGGGGTGATCTACCGTATTTACTCACGAGATTCGGAACGCCCTGTGGAGTCAACTACCCTTCTTACGGCTGATTTAGCAATATAATTGGCCTTTTTGGATTTAACACGGCTATAATCGACATTTTGAGAGTCTAAAAGGAATGAGCCACTTAGTACATGGCAATTGACTCCACAGGGCGTTCCGAATCTCGTGAGTAAATACGGGTACCTTTAGATTCGCCTCTACCTAAGACCCCAGCAAGCAAGGGCCCAGGACCAATCAGCTCGGCTGACCCCTGTAACATCGTAGCTTTTCAGGAAGAGCCACTCTCTCCGGAGCCGGAACATACGGATGATCCGGCGGTTCTAGGGTAGCTGCTCTCCATTCAGATATATCAGATGTACAGATGCTTGTGTTTGAATTGATTGATCTGACGAAATTTCATATCTGATTTGAATTGATTGATCTGATTGATATATCTGATTGTTAATCTGATCTGACGGCAGCCCTGCCAACCATGGCAGGACCGAAACACCAAAACATAGGTCCAGGACCGAAGGACTGACATCTTGGTCCTCATGGGAAAGTATCACTGAGTACCTCATAGTTAGCAGTATATAGAACACACTCGTTTGCACTTTCATAGATTCAAGCTCACCAGCTATCAATAAAACTTCTTTACATTGATCAAGCCTAACACGCATTGAATCTACAATTAAGAGACGTGACACTTTGACAACGCTCAGTACCACGCCCTACGCAATCTGCCAACAATAAACCTAGCACGGCTTAGTTTATCCACAGTTGGGAACCAACCGTCACATTTGTGTTTGAATTGATTGACCTGATTGATATATCTGATTGTTAATCTGATCTGACGGCAGCCTGTAGGGAAGTAGGAATAATAAAGAAAAATATCCTCTTAGGCTAGAGAGTAATAGGAAACTAGCTGATTTTATAATATAAAGTACTTATATATCCTAAGATTTAACTAGAGAAAAAAGAAGTAATACCTATATTAGATAGCTATAGGGATAAATAAGTTAGCTTTATTAATATACTAAAGACTAGCTACTATATTAGAGATCTAGGAAGAATAAGACCCTATTGATAAGAAGATATTACTTAGTAATATCTAAAGTATATAAAGCTTAAGAATTAAAGATTACCTCCTTAAATATAAGAATAGCTAGTTTAGAGGAAGAAGTTAGATAGTTAAATAGAGGTAAGAAGAGAATGACAATATCAAATCCCAATAGGAAGTTTATAATATTAGCCGAAACCTTAGTGGCTGGTGAAACGATTTCTGAGACAAGCTAGGTAATTTACAGAGACAGAGGCTATTGAGGATGTAATCGAGGTAGGAGGAGCGGAAGAGGATGAGAGCGCAAATTCGGAGGCAGAAGAATTACCTATCGCACAAACTCATACAGGCCGCATAGTTAAGAAACCAAGAGGATATTAAATGATATATAACTCTAAACCCAAGAAGCAGCAATCAATTTATTTTCGTATTTCTAGTGACTCTTTGCAAGGTAACTGAAAAATCTCAGTTTGTATGGGGAAACTTTTTTTTGCCTATCAGTAGAGGGGTCTTATTGGTATAGGGGTACTGCATGGTAATTGATCAGATACAAATGTTGTAGGTTGAGGGGTTTTTGATCCGTATACTCGGATAATCCGCAAGCTTATCATTCACGTTAGTGTTTCACTCGCTATGTACATACGTTAACTATTATCACTTATATTATTCATATATCTCTTATAATTCTATAGCAGATCATTTCGGTTTCCATGCTTAACTGGCAGAGCTCGATTGCATAACATTCTATGTGTATATTATCTGATACGACAAAATTTATATGTAAACATACCAATATGAATAATAACTATCCCTTCTTAGATCCTAGATTTATATAGTTTCTCGCCTCAATAGATACGAAGAAGAATAATTCTGTAGGATAATGGTTGTTAGGAGTCGAGTGAACAGGCTAGTGTTACAACTCCACCCATTCAGATTTACAAATCATCATCCAGCGGGCTAAGACCTTGTGCAGTACCGAGTCTCTTCTCAAACCAAAACCTCAGCCTCTCAACCCTCTCCCGGTTGCTCATAAACTTGGCAAAAGCACCCGGGTTCGTATGGGGCTGATTGTTAAGCTCAGGGAATCCTGCCGCCGGAGCAACGTCACTCCTTACAGGCCAGAATCCATTCGTCTTCTGGAAATCCTTGCTGAGCAAGAAGTTCTGCAGCAGCTTAGCGCCCTCAGGATGCGGTGCGTCCTTAAGAATGGCAGTGTGCTGCGGCCATGAGACAAAGTTGCTCTGCTTTGGAAATGTAGCGTTGAGAGAGCCCGTGCCGGTGGTCAGACCAAGAGCTGAGGTGAAAGTTGCAACGTAGGGGGACTTGGGGTCGCCGACAAGTGTTGCGCCGGTGGCTGTGCCTCGGACCCAGCGGGGCTTTTGCCCGATGAGCTTCTTGAACCAAGAAGTGCCATACTTGTTGAGACTGTTGATGTGAGTTGGGTACCATTCATCTTAAGAACCGAGACTTACATCAGGTCAAACTGGAAGAGGATCGCGTCATCGTCGTTGGGATACGTCAAGGCAAGCTTACCTTTGTACTCTGGCGCAAGAAAATCCGGGAACTCTGCAGGCGCCTTCTTGCCCTTCAACTTGTCCGAGTTCCAGACAAACTGCCACGCAATACCCATGTAACCATAGAAAGCGGCATCGATGTCCCGGAAATCGGGATAGATCTTGTCGAATCCAACAGGGGCATAGTGAAGCAGTGCGCCCTCCTCCTTCCAACGCGGAAAGTCGTGCGTCGTCTGTAGAGCAACGGTATCGACGTAGACGTTGTTGCTAGCGAGCTGTTCATCAATGTTGCCACCATGATACTTGGAAACATCAACAGTGAGGTTGAGAGTTACGCCGGGAAAGGCTGCCTCAAAGGCCTTCTTTACTGCGTCTTGCTGGTTCTTTTCATCGCCGCCGAACCAGGATGTTACAACGCCGCCTTCCTTGAGAGCAGCTTTGTAGATCTGGTCGATGGATCGTGTTTCGACCTTTGCGGTGGCATCGAAGCCGAGCAGCGAGTCGTATGCTGCTCCATTGGCGGCGAAAAGAGTGGAGAGCAATAGCATACGCATGACTGAGAATACAATGAGTTAGGTGTGGGGAGAATGGTAGTTGCAATCAAGAAACTGCGTTCCAGATCACAAAGATATAATGATCGCTGGAGTCCTGTGCACCGACCCAACTTGCAGGGAGAGCCTCAATATGCCCATCTCGGCGGAATCGTATATCATCGGCGTGATAGTCTTTCCGAGGAACACAGCCAGATCAGTTAGTTATTCAGCAAGAACAGTTGAGGTGACGTTAGATGAAGAGCTGAGATTCATAAGCAAGCGCGCGCGATACGAAGGATAACTTTTTTCAATTGGGTTACTGCTGGTAAGGTGTCTAGGTCTCGGCACACGGCATCGGCCCCGGCATAAATCTAATTGCACTAACCTTAAGACCAAGCCACTCACGGAGACGTGTACAAAATGAATGACAAGCTTCCGCTGCGAGTGGGCCGCCCGGACCCACATCCTTGAGCGTGTAATCAGAGGTCAAATTAACCGCGCGCGAATCAACGCATCAGCCTTGTCATTCGGGGCGATATGACACACTTTGCGCCGCGACTAGAAACGTAGGCAGTGGATCGATAACAGCAGGTCACGGGCATCCCGAGGCAGAAATTGTCAAGGACTTATCATCACGTATTGAATACGCTGTGCCAAGGCGTCGATCTTGCCCTATAAATTCTGATCCTGATTACCGCTATAACTCATGAAATTCGGTAGCGCCTGTGGGTCTAAGCTAAGGAATGGGCCCGCAGTTTCTAACTGTATGTGGTTACCACCAATTTGCGAACCCAACCTCCACTGTCCTTCCCCTCCTTGGTAACTCGCCGATATCTCGACTTCTAACGGTCGCAATGACTTCTAATTTTAGGAATGCATTTATTGATATCATATGTATATGTATGCGAAAGAACGGCAATTTTTGGCGACCCTGATGAATTTCACAGATGTAACCGAAGATTTCGATGACGACGAATGCTTCGAGATCGGACAGACCTACCGCCTTGTTTATTGACTCCCCTCTTCGCCCGGTCAACCTCAAGGGATTTCCCTGACGAAAAACGATATCTACTACGGTTGGGTTAGAATACGAAGTTGTCAATTAGTTGACGATGTCCTGAAGATGGGAAAATGGTGTTTTTGTAAGCCTGAACGCAGGGGAAAAAGGTGGAATAAATTCGATCAAAGACTCGGCCGTTATCGCGAGTGGCAGGAAGGGGAGGCTTTTTTCTGGGTTGATGATCAATTTGACGGTCAGGACTAACTATGACTATCTTCTACTGCGAATACAACGTCAGGATCCTCGATTTGGACTGTAATTGAGTCCCCAACTTTTTCTATAGTAGTTAGATGACTTCTCAGACGTTCAATAAGGTCGGACTTCTTCCCTAACGAGGAAATGTTGTTCAAAGAAGCCATTTGCCGTAATTGAGAGACTTTCAATCGTCTGAGTGTGAAAATGAGGGTATCTTCGCCATATTCCTCGTCGGGACCGAAGGAAAGCTCCTCTTCGTCACACAGCCGGTCCACAAGCTCTTCTGACTTGATAGATGTATCCCCAGCTTTCTCCCAGCCTGAAAAGTCGATATTTTCAATTCCTTTGATGGAAATAAGATGATCTTGACTTCCGTCTGGTCTTGTAGTTATTCCTGCTCGAAGGAACGAGTCTCTTATTATATCCCGTTCTTTTTTTATCCTCTCCCAAGCTCTGTGGACAATCCACGTTGTCATGATTCTTCTTTCGCTGATCGTCCAATAGGTCTTTCCTTTCCGTTCTTCTTCTAACTCATATATATCCATTTCCTCACGATAAAACTGTTTAAATAGTCTATTTATTGTCGTATCTAACGGCTGTAATAAGCTCGTACAGCCGGCCGGGATAAGAGCTGAAGTCAACAGCTGTCTCCTGACTTCGACCTTGATCCGGTCCGTAAGGTGGAAAGAGGCGGCATCCATCACCAAAAGGAAGTCCTCAGTTGCTGATTTGACGGTCGGGATATCTTCTTTCAACCACGATTCCATCAGGTCTTCGTTATTATATGCGTGTTCATTATATATCACCCTGATCCCCGGAGCGTACTGATTACCCTCATCTTTAAATATCCTGCTTTTATCGCTTGGGGAACCTTTAAATATAATCGTAGGTTCAAGCCGGCAAACGCCATCCCCAAAGATATACAAAATCGCCGTTGCCTGCCGCTTTTCCCACCCACTGCGTACAGTCTTTACCGATATAGTTTTAGAGCCTTGTAAATCCCAGGTATCTCCAGAGTCAATTTCAAAGGCTATAGGCGTCTCATCAACATTTAAAGTATACCGTTGTTTAAAGCGTCTTCGGGGCGTATCAAGGATGTTTTCAATATCCATTTTGGGTGATAATTGCTGTTTCAATGGTGATAATTGTTGATCGTGTTGTACGCGCTTGATGAATTTACAGAAAGATCCACATATCTCGCGATAAGCTTCAGGTTGTTGAGTAGCCCGTTTTGTGACTCTGCGCTTGATGATATTATATCGCCTCCTGAAGCCTGCCCACCAGCCATTGGAGAATGTAAATAGTACAGCTTGTTCTTCGGATGATACTGATGATGTGAATATATCTTTTGCCCGTTTTCTGAACCATGCAGTTGATACAGCGCGCTGTTGAAGTCTCAGCTGGATGAAGTCTTCAAACAATTGCTTCTCGAGCTGCGGCCACACGGGGGAATAAGCTCGTTTTTCCTGTTCAATTGAGATAATATCATGCCTATACCAATCACTAATTGTTTGCTGTTTAACTTGAAAGTAAGCAGCAGCTTCCTTCTGCGTAGGTCTTCTGTATCCCTCAATTGATTTGTGATGGTCAGGATCGAAAATGCGGTGATGATAGAGAAACATTACAACGGCAAGCCGGCGAGCCCTTGGGTGAGACTCTTCCTTCCGCCTAACCGGCTTTTTGACCTTATAGATCCGATCCTGGATTGACTTTATTTTCGGCCCAGGTTTTGCGGCTTTGGCCGGTCGCCCGGCCCCAGAATTATACCGCCGGACAGAGCTCGATTCACCAGTCATTTTGATATATAGTATGTATTATAATGACTTCAATTGCGATGCAAAAAGTGGTGCGCGATTAAATTGAATCCAGGGCTGCATATTTTTGGATCACCGGTTTGATATGTGCGGGGAAGAGCCTCATTGAATTACCTTCCTAATAGGGCTAGCGAGACACTAATGGGATCCACAGGCGCTACCGAATTTCATGAGTTATAGCGGTACGTTGTTATCTCTTTGAGCGGGCGACTGATAGGTGGGCGCCCGGACGCCCATTTATCCTTGGGCGCCTTCTCCAATGGTACAATATGATTGGCTCAACATATCGTGCATGATGACAAATAATCCCCACATCGTCGACCAAAAAGGCTTCCAGAATCAGTACAATGCCACTAACAATTAAGAAACGTTTGCAGCAATATGACACTGTTACTATATAACAAAGCTTGCTATTCTAATTAAATATTTACAACCACAAAAACAACTACAGCTATTTTCAGTTAGGCTACATAAGGGTTTCGGGTGAGGAATCGTTATGCGTCTATGCTATTCTCAAGCTTCTCGAGGGAGGCCGAAGAAATTCGTCGCTATAGCGGCAATAAGAAAAATACCATACCTCGAGGAGTTAAAGATTATTTAATCCCTTTTCTACTTGATACAGGCCGCAGCTTGCCTTTTTCCCTCTCATTGTTTAGATCAAGTCTATCGGTCTAGTTCACAATAGCCGTAAAAATCTCCTGTAACGCAATTGTTGTGATATATGTACCGTCTCTAGGCTTAGTCAGGAAACGCGCCCAGGCGCCCACCTATCAGTCGCCGTGATGTTAGGGCCCCATAGGGACACGCCTAGGCGCGCCTCCACACCTGAACGCGAAGGCGTGCGGATTATGTCAGCCCTCAATTTGGCCCGGCGCCCGCTACAGAGGCGCCCGGGCGCGCTTTTAGATTTTTTACGTTTTAAATTCTACAAAATTAGTAGAATTTATTTAAAAACTAGGGAAAAATATCTATGATATCTATTACATTATATCTATATATATATCTTACTTTAATCACTATATCTTTAATATTCAATTAGTTATAAGGTATTTCAACCTGCGCTTAGTCATCATTCATGAAATTCGCGCGCCCAGGTGCGCGATTAGTCTCATTCAACTTTTAATAATTATAATAAAATTAAAGAAAATTATAATAAGAAAATTAAGATCATAAGCATATTTATGATGATATTACATATTACATACAGAGTTTTTATAATTTAATATGAATGAAATGTTAGGTTATTATAGAAAACGTAAAAAAATCTAAAAGCGCGCCCGGGCGCCTCTGTAGCGGGCGCCGGGCCAAATTGAGGGCTGACATAATCCGCACGCCTTCGCGGGGAAGCCATACCTGCACGACCGATGGTGCACCTAAGATCACGTGACCTTCGCACCACCGGTCGTGCGAATAATATCCGTCATGTAAGAGGCATAGGTGGCCTTATGGAAAAGGGGTAAATTTGCACCCCAATTCAACGATCAACAGTTTCTGCAGCATCAATTCAACTTGCTGTGCCTTTCTTCTACTATAATGGACTCAATTGGCATTCACCGTCAATTCCCTGATGATGCTCTTCCTCCTGAAGGCCACTACAGCTCACGGGAGGAACTACGTTCAGCAATTAATGCTTGGGCAGCGCCACGAGGTTATGCCTTTGTGATCAAGAGATCTTCGAAGACTGCCAATGGAAGAACTCACGTTATCTTCAACTGTGACCGTGGAGCAGGGCGTATTCCCTCCCTTTCAGACCGTCGGCAAACTACAACACGTCGTACAGGATGCCTCTTCTCTGTATTAGCAAAGGAAAGCCTGTGTAAGACCATATGGAGTCTCAGGCATCGTCCCGGACCTCATTTCAGTCAGCACAATCATGAACCAAGCTTCAGTGAAGTGGCACATCCAACACTTCGTCAGCTATCACGCCAAGAGGAAATAACAGTCAATCAACT